TCCTGTGCGTTTGTGTTACTCTCTTTAGGCACACAGATCATCTACCTCAAACCCTCTTATTTTTCACACAAGCAAATTAATAATCAGAAAGGCTAAATAACTTACTCAAAGCCACACAAGTTTTAAAGAATGTAAAGGTTGGAAAGAACCTCAGAGACCATTTTGTCTTTACCTAACCTAAACAGAACTCCCACATCCTTAGCAAGTATTAATTTAGCACCCAATTAAAAATCTCTAGTGAGAGAGAATTCACTTGCCACCCTTGCTCATTCTACTTTGGCAGGAAGATTTTCCTCTATCTGATAATTATATCATCATCATCTAGTCCCAAGCCATAATCTAATGCTATGCCATTTCTACGCATTGTTTCTAGGGCTAAGTTGAACAAATCTAATACCTCCTTCGTGTGACAGTCCTTCACATACTTAAAGACAACTATCATGTGTCCCAGAAGTATTTATTTTCCCTAGGCTAAACATTGGTAACATGTTGGTTATATCAATTGACTCTTATAATGCATAGTGTTCAGTCCTCTTAGCATCCTGATCACCTTTTTCTGGACGTAGTTTGTGAATGTACTAGGACTTAATAAACTGTCTTAGCATCCACTTCACAATTTTGGCTCACACTGAACTTGTAGTCCACTGAAATCCCAAGGTCCTTTTCACAGTGGTAGTTTTAATGCCAGGTAACTCTCATTTTGTATTTATAATTTATTTGTAGATAGCAAGTGCCAGGATTTACTGTTATTCTTGTTAAATTCCATGTTGTTAGTTTCAATTTATCATTCCATTCTGTTTATGATGGCTGCTGTGTCCACCCAGGTCTACTCTCTCTAATGGTGGATAAGGGTAGCACTTCAGAAATTTATAACTTAGATGGAAGTCCAGAACTAATCTGTGTGCCAACTTTCCCCTCACATCACTTACTTTTTGCTGGCTCTATTATTCTGGTCTTAGTATCTGATTACTTCTAAACCACAGATGTACATGAAGATTGGTAGACCCCATGAAGAAACCCTGCTCTTCAGAACACATAGAAGATGAAACATTTTTACTCTGGGCACCAGCAGCTGCCCAAGTCAAGAACGGTTTTCATACTACTTACAGTACTGGGAATGATGGGCCAGATCATTGAACATGATGGTAGCATTTACTCAGAGGACCCAAAATCCTATAATAACCCAATTTCAGCCAACACAAGCACAGTTGTAAAGCTAAGAAGAAAATGTCATCATTCTGAGAAGCATTTTGGTTATGATAACTAGCCATAAATGAGGCTTCTTTGGCTGTTCTTGTGAGCTTCCCTGTGCTCAGAGAATTCTTTAGTACAGATACAGCCATTGCCTTTTTTATGTGGTTCTCTATAGCAATAGTCATACCATGAAGGCATTATTTTCTTCCTATTAGATTCAGGTGCTAGAATAGCAAATAGGATGTCTATTACAGAACCATGGCCAGCATCTCACCTTCTGCCCTAGCTACTGATCCTGGGAACCACCCTTCATATTCAAAGGCAATTTTAAGTGGAGGGAAGGAGAGAGACAGACAGACAGGCAGAAACAGAGACAGAGAGACAGAGAGAAGAAAAAACAAAGAAAGCTATTATGAGACACAAAGAAAAACATAAATTTGAACAGAACTATCATATAGGGAACCATATCATGATTAACATCTCAACTCTGAGGCAGAGGCTATTATGGACATCCTTTTCCCTAGAAAGTAGATAGGATATAGAGAACAAATAGAAATGTGTAGATAGCTGTTTCAACCTGCTACACTGTTCTAAAAAATTCATAGAAGCTGATGAACACTTTAAACACTGGCTTTCTTGAGCTATGCACTGTGATGCTCTGGTTTAATAATTTACATCGTAAATATAGAGATTGGTTACTAAATTCTACATCTATTTAATTGACACTTCTAGAATGTCATTGCATCCAATGTTGCAACTGCAAGACATGATTACTTTCCATTGCTGTGCAAATGAATCTGAAAGCAAAATGATTCTCTAAATGCTAATCACTGAAGACCAAAATCTCAAGATTTGGGGAGGGGAGAAGAGGATGAAGAAACTAATTTTATTAAGAACTTTACACATATTCAGCACTGAAACTTGATTTTGTAGCTGCACTGATGCATAAATCCCATAAAGCTAGTCAGCCACTGGCAAATGTATTAAAATCCCTAAAGTGCACATTTGAGTAGGGGAAAAAAAGTCCTATTTAACTGGATAACTAAGATGCTTTACTGATAAAGCAGGACCAACAGCTTTATCAGAGGCATTTCAGCACAAAGTTTCCTGGATACTGATGGGATCATGATACTTTTATTAGCCTCCCCGACAAAGAATCCATTTAACAAAGCTGTTTTTTTTTAAATAGAATTAACAATTTGGGGGTACCAAAAAGAACTTCTAAAGGCATTTTCATGCTACATTTTAGCTTACATTAACAAAGGAGAGAGGTCTTACGTTCTTGTCCGACAGAGTGGTAGAATTGTAAATCCACTCTTGACAAATCACACATGAAGAGTGTGTTAAAAATGTAAGTGCTGTGGCAATAGAGGGTATGGTGGGTGGGTATTTTTTTGTGTGTGTATGTGTATACACATGTGTGTATATGTATATTCATATATACCTATATATGAATTAATTACATGGAGGATGCAATGCAAAAACTAGTATTGAGGAAATATAACTGGGGGAAAAATTAGGTTCTTTTGTAATCGGTGCAAAACATAGGCCCAATTGGAGTATGCACACTGTCAAGAGGAGAGAAAGGCAGGCCTCCAGCATATTGGGTACATTCCATTTGTTGGATTTATGACACAGCATGGACATGAATTGCACAGGAAGGGCAGGCATTGATGAGTTATGATTTGTATCCTTGGAAGGAATACCGACGTTTGACACCAGAGTCCCATTGGAGCATTGGAATAAAGGATAGTAAGTATACAGTACATTCTGAAGCTGGATAATACAGTAATTCTTATCACTTTAAGTCATACACTTTTAATGCTGTAATGAAATATACACAGAATTGAGTTGGGAAAGGTAGAAAATATGTGGCTTTCCAAAAAAAATAATCCAAGGACTTCTACATATTGTTAATTTACTTTTTTGCAGGTAGCTTTTAGGATATGGCTTTAGAAGAATTTTCATGTTAAATTTTTCTCACTGATTATAAGCAAGAGTTTTAGAGAGGACAATGTACTAAATCTGATTTTAAAATTATGGTGAGGCTACCTTTGAACATGAGTGTCTAGTCATGTATAGTACCCTTCTAATCTTTTTATACTAGTAAACTAAGGAAATTGGTCAATTAGCATTTATTATTCTGGGGGAGGGGGATACAAAGGAAGTATAAAACATAATCCCTTCCTTAAAGGAGCTTGTGAACTGATCAGGGAGATGAGACTTACATTCTGAGCAATATCATAGCATATAGTAAGTGCTAACTTTTATGGTAGAAACTGTAAACATTCAAAGATTTTGAAGGATATAGATATGAATGCAGGCGGTAGCTTTTCATGTAAGATGAAGGTCTTGATTTTGGCCTTGTGAATCAACCAATCAATCAACATTTATTAAGAGACTATGCACCAGGTATTGTGCTGTGTGGTGGAAGGGTACATAATATCGAAGGATGGAAAATATTTGTAAAAGCAGAGAAGAGATATTTCAGATAATTTTTGTTTATGCTGTTTTGTTTTGCAGGACAGTGAGATCATTTTCCATGACTAGTTTAGAGAATAATATGGTTTGGGAATAATATGAGCAGTTAGAAATAGTAGGGACACATCATGTAAGCCTTTGAATGCCAAGTAGTAGAATTTGGACCCCCAAAAAGCCATAAAAAGTCATTTAAGTTTTTTTTAAGCAGATCGACATGACCAAAGTGGTGTATGGACTAGAGCGGGGACAGACGACTTGAGGAAGCCATCTCGAAGAATATTGAAATAATTTCGATGGAATTCTCATCAAATATTCTTTTCTCATGCTATATTCTTCTGCATAGCAATAGTGTCAAACTCAACAGATCCCTGTGGGCTATGCATCGACTTAGGAAACCACAAATTAACATTACCTATGTTTTACTGTATTTTTATTTTGTCAAATGTTTCCTAAATTCATTTTAATGTGCTTTGGGCTGCATTGGGGAATTTTGGTGGTTGCATGTGGCTCGCAGGCCATGAGTATGACACCTCCACATAGCATAATTTTTTAATAAATGAATCTGGCTTGTTAGATGGTACAATCCTTGAGAACAGTGGACTGGGCTGTCTTTCATTTTTGTATCTCCAGGACCTAGCATGATGCTTCACACAAAAGATCATAGGTTTGGGGCTATGAAGGACCTTAGACATCATCTAATACAGACACATTATTTTACATATGAGGAAACTGAGGCCCAGAAAAGTTAGGTGATTTCATGAAAGTCATATAGCCATTATCTAGCAGACTCAGGATTCAAATCCAAATCCTCTGGCTCTATATCTAGTATAATTTCCATCACAGTTCACTGCCTGCCTCAGTAAATGCTCTGCCTGTCAGAAAGCATGCCTTACTTCAAGGCTCATCTCATATGCCATCTCCTACAGAAAGACTTTTCTGATCTCCTGGTTTTAAATGATCATTTCCTTCTCACGTTATCAGGTTTTTACTTATTTATTTACATGACATATACTCCCAGTGTAATGTCTGCTCCTCAAGAATAGAGACAATTTTTTAACTGAATATTAAAGGAATTTTTTTCAGGAATAATTGGTAGGATTTGACAAATGCATCATTGAAAGAGACAGGAAATATCAGCAGTGAAACTGGTTTGGGGTTGAAGATGATGAGTTCAATTTTAGACAAACTGAGTTTGTCTGGGATCTAGATCTGGGAATGAAGTTTGGTTATGAGATCACTAATGGATCAAAATCCCTTAATTATTATTGTACTCCTCCTTGACTATCAAATAAATACTCATCTAGGTCCCTGGTATCTGTTGTCAGATCCCTCCAATAGCAAATGTGTGCTGACCTTGAGTACTACTTATTGTCTGCTGCCGGAACAAAGACCACCTGCCTACTGTGACACTCACCATTTTCTCACTGCTCATCCTCCCTGATGCTGGCATCTTATCTCCCTGTACTTCTATCCATTATCTGCTACTGCTCACAAAGTCAGAGAATATCAGTTTTGGAAGAGAAATCAGATGCTGTCTGGAATCCCTTGGAAAAACACAAAACTCTCCAGTAAGTGGTCATCCAGCTTCCACTTAAGACCCTCTGTATGGTGAGAACTCACTACCTCTCAAGGCAACACATTTCTCTTTTTGGCCAGCTTTACTTATCAGAAAGCTGTGCTTTTTCTTGATCTGAAATCTGCCTTGTTACAATTTTCTTTTTTTTTTAAATTAATTTGTTTTAAACTTAAATACACAAAAGAATTATACAATAAGAAAATAAAAAGAAACATTATAAACTTAAATATTAAAACTTGGATACAAAATAAGAAAAGAAAAAAAAGCATTGCCATGTACACAGCAGAATATAAGAGGATTCTAAATATACAGCAATAAATTTCCTTTTCAAGAAAGCCTATGTAATAAATAGACATTGTGTTCAGAGCTGTCCATTTTTGCCTCCTTGTAAGTTTTCTTTTGTTTTCTGCCATGCACTTTTTACTTTGTTCTTTTTTCCCCCTCCTTCCTTACCCCCAGTAAGGTACAATTAAGCATACACATACACTCATATACATACATGTATACACATGCTTACATATACACACAGATATATATGTGCACACATATGTACTTACATATATAAAAAGTATTTAGATATCTATAACCATGCTCATATATATATATATATACATACATACATATATATGTATATAATGTATATATATATTCACATACATCTATGTAAAACCATACTATACTTGTTTGTCCTCTGATTCTCTGAGGATATATAACCTCTTCCTTCCTACGTCTGAGTCTTTTCATCATTTTATACCACAGTAATATCCCAACCTTATGCTGTCTAGTTATTTTAAAGTCTAAAACAATAGATTAAATGACTGACATATAGCGTAGTTTCCTTATTTTTCTCTTAGGATTACAATTTTCACTTATTGCTCCTAATCAGCCTTTGAGGTCCAAGCTATATCAAGTCTAGCCTAGTATCTCTTCTATAGAAGACTGTTCTATATAACAGACCTTACAGGATTTTTAAAGAAAACATTTTCCCATAAGACTGGTCTTCTCAGTAATGACTATTAAACTACCAGGCCCAAGAACTTTTAATCATTTCATATTTGTGTGTTTTTTTTTTAAATCCCTCTTTGGCTTGGAATTTAAAGCTCTGCTCAATCTGAATTTGGCCAAATCAGCTTTCTTGCTATTCCCCATTCTTGACATTTCATCTCCCTCCTTTACACAGTCTTCAATACTTGGAATAAACTCTTGTCTCATCTCTGCTTGTTTGGACCTCAGTGTCTTTTGATGCTCAGCTTATGTGACACCTCCTATTTCACAGCAAGCTTTCCAGATCTTCACGATTGTCCATTCTTTTCCTTCCTTAATCATGTATATATTTATTTTTTCATGTTGAAATCTCCCATTAGACTGTAAATTCCAGACCTAGAATAGAGTCATACAAATCCTTGGTCTTTGTTAAATTCTTGATGGATTGTTGCTGAATGCTAACTAAGCATCACTAGTTCCATTCATACTCATGTGACTCAGTCTCGAGACATGTCAATCCTTTCCCCCTCATCTCAATGTTGTTGTTCAGTGTTTTTTTCAGCCATGTCTGATTTTTCATGACCCCCATTTAATTTGATTTGGGTATTTTTTTGGTGGTTTCTTTTTTTTTTTTGGCAAAGGTACTGGAGTGGTTTGCCATTTCTTTCTCCAGCTCATTTTACCGATGAGGAACTGAGGCAAACAGGGTTAAGTGACTTGCCTAGGGTCACACAGCTAGCTAGTGTCTAAGGCCAGATTTGAACTCAGGAAGGTGAGTTTTCCTGACTCCAGGCCCAGGACCCTCTCTACTGTGCTGCCTAGCTGCCTACTTTCATCTCAATACTGTCTTGTTTATCAAAAAACCTTTAAAAGTAATGGGCAGAACTAAATAAAATTCTAGCTATATGCTCCGAAAAGAAAGGAATAAAGGTGTACTATCATGTGCATCATTCTGAATGCTGAATGTGCTTCTCTTCATGGAGTCTGGTTTATCGCTTTATCGCTAGCATTTTTTCGCTACGTCACACTGTTGACTCTCTTGCAATCAACCAAAAGTAGCACCAAAATATTTTTTCACAAGAACTATATAATTCAGGATGATTGCAGAAGAAATTAATCTGGGTTAGAAGAGATGATAGAGGCTACCTAGTCTAATTCATACTTGAAGAAGAATCTTCTCTTCAGGAGCCTAGCAATAAAACTATACTGCAATGCAACACTATTAAAAATGAGTTAGTTAAAAAATACAGAGGTCAATCAGTGGAATAGTTTAGGTACACAGCATAAAGGAGCATAAGAACATTATGAACTAGCATTTGATAAAACCAAAGACCTCAACTCTTGGGGTAATTATTTACCATTCAACAAAAACTCCTGGGAAACCTGAAAAGCAGGGTGACATAAACTAAGATGAGACCAACACTTCACATCATATATATCCAGGTAAGCTACACATATGTACTTGACTTAGAGATAAAAGGTCACATTGAAAATCCATGAGAAGAGCAAGGTAGAAGTTACATTTTAGATCTATTGATGATGGATAAATTGATCACTAAACAAAGTATAGAGGATCAGATAAGATAAAATGGAAAATTTTAATTATATGAAAACTTAGAGAGTTTGTGACTCACCCAACATAGTGGTGATAATAGGATTTCAACTCATGTCTTCTTGAATCCAAATCTAAGGCTCTATGGTGTCCCTCCTGGTTATATACTGCTGTTAGCTTCTAGCCACACAGTATGTCTTTCCATTGCTCCTTGAGTTATCTTAATTTTTAATTAACTTGATTAAGTCCTCTGAGATAATGGTGTTCTAGGATTCACAGCCATTACTGAAATGATGTTAAAAGCACAGGATTTTTCAATTAAAAGGAATTTGGGGTCATTGAAAGCTCTGTATAATTTCTCGTGTGCAATTTAATCCTCATTTCTCTCCACATTTCCAGCACTTACTACCATCTATAGTACATGCCCCAGATACATACATTCATGCATGAATTGATAAACAGTGATGATGGTGACATAGTGGAAAAGAAATCAGAAGGCTGGGAAAATCACATCATTTTTAGAAGACCAACTAACATTGTTTTAATTAGTGTCAATTTCAATATTCAATTGTTTTCTAATAGCCAATATACATCTTCTTGTAATGACTGACCAAGAACTACTGGAGAAACTGGGTCATTTCCATATTAGTTACAAGATTTCTTAGCTCAGTGGCACATAGCCAATGGTAAGTCAATAAATAATGCGATGGTGTAGGGCAAAGGTTGTGTGCTCCCTTCTTCCATAACTTGGACTGTATAGAACCTGAATATAGCATATAATTGGTGTTAATTTTCATTAAATATTTATATGTAATTATATTTTTCTTTCAATATGACCTCATTTTGAGAGTGTGACATTTTGACTTATATGAGAATGCATATATGGATCAATAAGGTACTAACTGATGATAGGTGATAAAGCCAACTAATTATCTTCTATTCTCAAAAGTACATGGCAATGAAGATGTTACTGTGGAAAGTGACTTAAATGCCACATAACAAATGTATATTAAAGATGATTCAATCTCATCATGGTAACCTTAGTTAATGAAATTTGAGAGACTTTCTAAATAAAGAACTAGTCCAGAAGATGTGTGATAGAGTACATAAAAATTTAAAAAAATTAATTCAATTAGGAAAACATTTATTAAATGCCTGCTATGTGGTAGACACTGTACTAGTTGCAAGAAATGCAAAGACAAAAATGAAATGGTCCCCTGCCCTCAAGGAATTTACATTCCATTGTGGAAAACATTTTAAGGTTCTCCTCAGCCAAGAGAATGAAGATGGTTATGGTAAAGTTCTATAAAGAGATACTGAACATTTTATCCCTAAAAGGAAATGAGCAAAAAGCCTGCTTTTAAAACATTTCCATTAGGAAAAGAAGAATGGAAAAGTCTAGTTTGAAATCCCTATAAACTGTCACTGAGGTTGATAGTTGGGAATAGTGGGTAAAAACTGACTGCTTCTGTATTTGCACATGCATTGTTAGAGGCAAAAAAAAAAGTCAGGCATATTTTCCCCCTTTATATATCTGAACCCTATGAATTTAAGCCAGACAAAACCTATCAGGGACCAGCTTGTAGCAATAAGAGATATGAATCTGAGTGAAGAAAGGCCTTCCTTTAAAAAATGCCTTAGAATTTGCTCATCACACAAAACTGATAAAAACTCAAAACCCTGAGCACACCGAGAATGCTTGGGGCTTAAATGAGATTGCTCATAAAACGGAGTGATATCAGGTAAAGCCAACATATAACAAAGAAGTGGGTAGAGCAGACAGGTAGGATAACAATGAGCAGCCCTTCCTGAGAGGCAGATACAAGAAGGCAAATGACCCCAAACTCTCAGGCAGGCTCAGAACCCCCACCTCAGAAATGCCACAAAGGTGAACGTGAACTGGCAGCAATTTATTAAGTTTAATTTTTCTTTTCAGTTAAATTTTCATATGGTCTGAACCACACATTTTGACACGTAATTATCTGCTGTACTGCATAATTCTTTATCCATTTCATGTGACATATGTTTTGCTTTCTACAATAAGATCTTTGAGGGCTAGAACTTCATCTTTCATTCCTTTTGCCCAGAACAGCATTAGGTTGATTATAAGTATTTGAATTGAACAGGATTAGAAATAAAAATATGGAGGCCATTTTTGAATATAGCTTATATATGAAGTTAATGTGACAATATCAAGAAAAACATTTTATTTCCTTCCTGAGCTTAGCATCTCATGGGAGAGATACTTAGAGGGCATAGTGGCTAGAGAACTGGATAGCAATCAGGAAGTCCTGAATTCAAATCCAACCTCAGACATTTAGTAGCTTTGTGACACTGGGCAG